GGTAAGGACTGAGGTTCCTTTCCTGCAAAGAGCAACGCCTCATTCCAGACTCTCGGGGAGTCCCCGGCTCACCGAGAAGTCGGGTGGTAAAAATCATTTTCCATGCTGCACAGAACAAATGGAACCCGGGGCAGTTTGCCAATGCCACACGGGACTGGCAAGACGGAGACAGAAGGTCTGCACCATGCGGGGGCTCATTCGCAAACTGTCTCCGTCCCTGGTTTCACAGGCGCTGCCCCCAGGGACACAGATGGGGAGAGGGAAGTGGCGGCTCTCGAGGCTGTCACTTCTCCCCACTTCACATATGTCACCTGCAACACTTTGTTAAGCTGTTTTTACCTAATTAATATACCACTGATACTCAGCACGACATGCTTACTGTTCAGTCGTAGATGTCTGAAGTTAGAAAAGAAACTACATATACGTGACCTGGAATATTTCTGGTGACCCAAGATTGATACTATTGTTTTTTCTTATGTTCCCAGTATTTTAAAACTTATGCTTTAAAATCACATCAACTTCTTAAAATCACATCTTGGTTTTCTGGCTCCCTGAGAATTCATTGTCAAGGGTCACTTTCTGTAGTGACTTCTCTACTGTAAATGAGCTAACATGGCAAAGGGATAAACTTGAGATACTGAATAAAATCTCAAATCACTTCCAAGGTGTTTGGAGACATGTGTTCCGCCCCCACCCCCGGCCGCCACTGTTAAACTCCAACAGTGGGATGGAGCAATAGCACAGTGGGTAGGACCTTTGCCTTGCACACGGCCAACCCAGGTTCGATTCCTCCACCCCTCTTGGAGAGCCCGGCAAGGTACGGAGAGTATCTCGCCAGCATGGCAAAGCCTGGCAAGCTCCCTGGTGTGTATTCGATATGCCAAAAACAGTAACAAGTCTCACAATGGAGACTTTACTGGGCCTGCTCAAACAAATCAATGAACAACGGGAGGACAGTACTACCGTGCTATGCTTTATTAACTGCTTTTTATTTTTGTTTTTGGCAGCGTTAGCGGTTGGGATTGTACCCAGCTGTGCTCAGGGTTTACTCCTGGCAGTGCTGGTGTCCACATGTGGTGCAGGGATCAATCTGGGTTGGTGGCATGTGAGGTGAGAGCCTTGATCAGAGGGTGGGAAGGGGTGGGGGTGGCAGGCCGGGGTACTAGGAACACTGGTGGTGGAGAATGGGCACTGGTGGAGGGATGGGTTCTCAATCATTGTATGATTGAAACGTAATCATGAAAGTTTATAAGTCTGTAATTATATCTCACGGTGATTCAATTAAACAAATAAATAAAGTAAATAAAAATGTATCAATAACCTGGGCCAGTCTTTCCCAAAGCAGGATATACTGCCCTGGATGAGAGGGGAGGTACTGGCCGCATCTAGCTGCATGGCAGCAGCACCGGTCCAGAGGAGGGGTGCTTTCTGTTTGTTCAGCTGAAAAAGGCAGCCTCCCAAGGGGACGCTGAGAAGTTTGTTTCTAAAAAGGGGGTGATTGGTCGAATAAGTATGAGGCTGGGATGACAGCCTGAAGGGCTGGAGGGCATCTGCACCTCAGAGCTTCAACTTCCAGCCTGGCTCCTCTGGAGTGGCACACCTTCCCTCCCGTACTGATGTACACTCCCCCAAAAGCAAGAATACCAAAAAAAAAATATGGTTTTACAGATTAAGTAAAGTAAAAGTAAAGGCCCTCCCGTTGATCGTCGATTTGCTCAGCAGGCCCAGTAACGTCTCCATTGGAGACTGTTGTTACTGTGTTTGGCATATCGAATACTCTCGGTAGCTTGCCGGGCTCTCCGAGAGGGGCGGAGGAATCGAACTCGGGTCGGCCATGTTGGCCGCTTGTAAGGCGAACGCCCTACCGCTGTGCTATCGCTCCAGCCCTTAACATTTTACAGATTTAAATTTACATTTACATTTACAGATTAAAATTAGAAAAAATGTATATACTGTTGGTCCATCTTTAACATGTACAGAAACAGCATGAGAGATTTCAATGATGCTGGCATTTACATCAAGAATGCCTCATTTAAAATTTTACTCAAATGTAAGCAAGTGAAAATATTTATGCTCATACATATGTGAAAAAGACTGATAATCAAACTATCCTATTCCTCAACATTAAAAGGTGTTCCTACGAAGAACTTAATTATTTTTTCATTTACAGAAACAACGCAAAAGCCATGACACTTTCCATATGCCACCTTTGTGACCATTAGGTGTCAATCATATGACCGCAAATGAGGGGAATCCAACATTTTAAAAACATGCAAGAGAGAGAGTTCCATTATATCCTGAGGCAAATTGGAGGAGAAGCTGCAGTCCGCCCATGAGATTAGTTTCACCTGGAAAAACCCAACCCTCCCTGATCTCATGTACTGAATACACCGATAGCTGAATTTCTATTTTGAGTATAAGTTTGCAAGCGTTCTGTTAACATCTCTAGTGTTCTCTTGTGACCTCCTAACATCTTGTGAAATCCTTTACACGAAGTCCA